GGTCGCTGTCAGGGGGGGGGGGTCGCGCTGCCCAATCTGTCGTCACGCATTCCTTTGCCAGTGTTGCATCTGGCGCGGGGCCTCTATGCCTATCAGCGTGCCGTGTCCTATTTCCAGTGTTAACAACAAGAAATTCGTTGCCTATGCGCCATTTCGCAACGGCACCACCTCTAGGATCAGGCGGGGCCTTTTGTTCCCATGCCAATGCGTGTGCATTGGCAATCTGCACCTATGAGCTGTGGCCCGCCCGAGTTGTTGAGGCCATCGAAGTCCTCTGGAGTGATTTTGGTGGAAACGTGAGGAAGGTATGCTGATGAAATCGTCAGCTTTTTACCTGCTTCCAGATGTATGGTCACTTGGACAAGCTCAATGCCTGCAACAAGCGCCGGCCCTGTCTCCACATGTATCTCATCCCTGATGGGGGTTGACACACCTCCACCACGACAGGTGCGGGCTATCCCATAATGTTGGCGCCCAGGGAGTCTAAAACTAGCTGTTTCAGTGGGGGGGGGGCATTTTTGTCTCACTCAATGGCCAAAACGTTATGCTATCATCGTAAAGCTGTTTGCCCAAGGTTAGACGTTGTGGTTTGTGTTAGCCCAGCTGGGTTCCATTGCATGCCCCTCAGGCTAGGGCATTGATTTGCTTCCGCATTTCCACTGAGCAGCCGCTTGGTGCGGGTAATGCTGTTGATGGCGCCGCAAAGCGCGCCGTAAGACCGACAAAGGCAATACTGTTCCGCAGCAGGACGCAGCTGGCACTGGCACTGTGCGATACCGTAAAACTGGGGCTGCAAAGTTCTCCAAGTGGCGAACTTTGCTGGCGCTCTGCTTCTCCTGGCAATGTGGGGTTCTTGGCATTAGTGCCGCGATGGGGCGGCCGGCGTCACGAAGGGAGCCGCTTTATAGGCCATGCAATCTGCACTTTATCAGCAAGACGTAAAGGCCCTGAGAAAAGTAGCTGATAAAACTTTTTGGATGAAACAAGATGGCCATTCTTAGCCATTTAAGATTCATCAGCAGATGGAACAGACGCAAGGCATTATTAACAAATAAGCTACGCAGTTGGAGGCCCAGTTCTCTACCATCAATGCGTTATAGCGCCAATTGGCTGCATATGAAAACAGGGAAAACGAAGGTGTCACAACATCATCTGTGAATAATCAAGTAAAAATAGAACAGGGGAAAGCATCTGGGTAGACTAAACGAATTGATGACTGGGCACTGAAAGGGTTCCCACCAGAGCCCCAGGATCCTTTGGAAAGAGTTGCTGCCGGAGTCTTCAGGAACTTCGTGGTAGGTATTGAGTTTCAGGGGTTAAACCGGAAGGGAAAATTTGCACATTTGAAGGTGCAATGGAATATCTCGCAGTTGGGGTGCCTCAATAACTTATTTTGGCGTTTAAATACGCTTTTCCCGCGCCACCCACACCTGGTCAGGCATATTTGGAGACGTCGGAGAATTTTGTGAGACGAATTTTTGGATTCCGTCCTGAGGGCGTTTCGGAACAACATTTCTAGTCGAGTAGGCGCCTGTATACCCAATTGTGCACAATTCAGAGAGTTAAGGATCACCCTGACGGGCAGATTCAAGGTACACGCAATGCTGTGGATTAGCCTAACAAAAGAAACGATGTTTTTCCACAAGCGGCTCTGAAGGCCAAGCGGCAGAGACACACCCTTCCTCCGAGCCAGATGTGCTGTTGCAAATGCGGCTGGGCAGGCCATTGTGGCGCAACGTGCCAGATGAATGAAACTCAGCTGGGTATGCGGCTGGAATAGTCTATACCTTACCTTCCCCTATTAAGTAAAAAGGGAGCGGAAGAGAACTTATATCTTATTTCCATTGCGAAAACAACCCACTTGGCTTGCATAGTTGTGGGGCCTTCGAGTGAAGTCCAAATATTTTAACTTATAGAAAATTTAAAACCTTGCAACCAACTGGCAAAAAAAGGAGCGGAAAGCGCCCTTAACCCGCTCCCCTTCGCAAGTTCTACCCCTTCGCGATGTCCGCCGGGAAAACCTTTACCCCGTGCGAGGTGACATCCGCAGGGTTATTTTCCAACGCGACATAGCCCCATGTGGCGTTCAAGCCTTGTCCACACAGTGCTCCGTCGATGCGCCCCGCCCCCCCCCCCACCAGGGCATCGGAACGCACGTTGCCTTTCTTCATAATAGGCACTGCTGTCGGGTTGCCGATGCGTATATGGAGCGTGGCGGGAAATTCCCCTTGAAACCGAGCAAGGCAAATCCGGCGGCCCTCGCTTCAGCCTGTGCAATTATATGGGGGGCTTTTTCCCACGCACCCCCTGCGGCCACACACCCCCGTTGCCTTTAAACAACAGCGCGCCCCATCCACATAAAGAGGCTTCAGGCACCAATGCCCCTGGGGTCGGTAAAGCCCGCGGGGGGTTTACGGGGTTGTTCTGCAAAAGAGTGTCCCGCCCTTCCTGCCCCACCTTAAGGGCAAAGGGGGTGGGGCTGCCGGGCCGTGGGCCCCTAACAGCCCTTCGTTGGGGCGCGGCGGCCTTCTGCGCACCATTTTCAAGAAGAAATAATGGCGAAAAAGCGAACCCCCCTGAAACCCCGCCGCACACACCATACGTGACGTGGGGCATTCCAATTCCTCCACCGAAATCTTGTGGAGGGGTGTGGCACTCTTCAATTTCCGTAGCGTTTTGTTACTGAGGGATACCGTCCTAGCCGTGTGGTTGAAACAAACCCCTATGAATTCACAACGCGCTGTGAAGGCCTAGTGCCCTCCCACCGTCGCACCGCAATCGCGCATGTTTTTCGCAATCGTGTTCCCCAAGAAAATCTACGCTTTTACACGGCCCTGTGATACGAATATTGTCAATCCACACGTGTAGGGCTAGCTCTGGTGTGGCTTCGCAACGCGGCCTAACGGCTTTAGGGTCACCCACCAAAACCCTTGTGATGGTATGCACGATTTCTGGACTACATTTATACCCCATGGGGTGTCGCGTGGCCTCGACCAGTGCACCCTTTTCCGTACGACAACGGAACCTTTTGCGCCTCTCTGCTGGCAAGCCTGTCTGGAAAAAAGATGCCTTTAAATCAGCCATGGCAGCTGTCTGATCATAGACCACACCCAGGTACTTGAAAATATGCCCCAGAGGGGCCATAGCCTCGTAGTCCTCTTGTTCATTTGTAGCTTTTGGCCATGCGATGAACGGCACCGCTGCCCCGACGGTTTTTCCTCTACAACCGCAAAAGGCACCACCCACCCGGTAGTGGGTAGGTTCGGTGCGGTTTGAATAACCCCAGCTTTCTTCATAACCTGGGCGTCCTCCTCTGTCATCCTCAAGAGGGGCCCTCGTTCACCCATCCTAACATTAGCTGGCTGTTGCATAAAGTCCCACGCTGCATTAAACCGTTCCAGAGCCGTAGAAATGAGGCGGCTTCGGATCCAGTGCAATGAGAGAGTATCCACATCTACCTGTTGTAACGGCAACTTTCTTTCATCGTTCTTATCGCCCACCCGTGTGCGATGGGTGCGTCGAAAAATGCTGTGCCCCTTAAAAAGTTGTCCCTGCTCTTGCCCTCCCTCCGGATAAGCCCATGGATGCCTCGCCCATTTGCTGATCTCGTCTACATCTATGCCGTTAGGTGTGCCGACTTGTTTACCAGGGCGACCCACGGCCCTATGTAGCGAGCTGTGCTGCGTGGCAACTCTAGCGGGTCCGCGTGTTTCCCCACCTGAGCCAGCAGGCGAGGGTCGAGATCGTGTTCAATCGCCGCTGCGGCTGCATGCGCCAGTGTCTTTTTTTTTTTGAATGCGCTGTCATGCCGAATGGGCGGGGTAAGTTTTCAATACCTCTTTCCGTTAACGTTGTAAGCCGTCCCCCCCCCACCATTCCCGTGGTGACGCCTCTCACCCTTGTTGCACCTTCCCCACCGATAACCACGTATCGTGCCGCTCTGTGGGGGTCGATTTTGAACGCCTTTTGGATGGCCCCTCAATCGGCAATGAGGGTTTCCTTGTTTCGATAGTGGGGAATAAAATTTTGCTTTTAGAGTAGAGCGATTTCGCCCCACCGACTTGCTGTGAACCAGGCGGGCCGTAGGGCAACCCGGTCGTTTTCCGAGGTAAAAATATCGCTGATGAGATCCAATCCCCACCTCTCCATGGGGCGAGCCTGTTTTATGGGACCTGCGGCCGCCTTCCTTTGAAGACCGGCCAAAAACATCCTGGCCGGCGATTCCCCCTGAAGCCAGTAACGTCAGCAAGGTTCTTGTGTATTGCACCGCGCTGCTCTTGGTGAGTTGTAGACTTACAATAAAAA